TGCACTGCTGGAAGCATGAAACAGGACATGGAAATGTGAAGCAATTTGTGAGCCAGTTAACATGATGCCTTTTACTGGAAAACCCTTACATATTATGGGCTGACAAAAAGAAAAAAAAGAGACGTAATTGCCCCTTTGTGTGCCCTGAGCTTGGATTTTCCAGCAGTAATACAGGTTTGCTGGATGCAGGGAGTGTGTCAGGTAGGGATACCTGAAATCCCGGCAGGGTGGTGTCCTGCAGGTTACAGTTTGAATCCGAGCCATATTAGCAGGAGTTAATCGGCTCCACCTTGGGACTTGACCGGACACGTTGCTGCGCCGGGGTTGTGTAGGTAGCGCGTTGTGCCTGTGGTGATGAGCGGAGGGGGGTTGTGGTGTCGATGTGCGTGCGCTCTGTGCCGCGCCTCGCAGAGATAAGGAGCCCTCCCGACAAACAAAGGAGCTGCAGCTGCCTCTGGGATGCTCCAGATAAAGCAGGAGCAAACAGCGGAGTTGGTAGGAGCCAGCTAGTCCGCAGGCATTCCCCCCGCTCCTCCTTTTCCCTCAGGAACTGACGAGGTGGCCTCTGAGCGCTCTGAGGGATGTTGCGTTTATCGGCTCGTCTGTCTTGCTTACACCATCTTGCCAGCGCGGCGCTGGACACTTTAACGATGGATGTGTAAATCTGACGTGCTCCACATGCTTGTCCTCCTCTCTTGGGGTAAAAAAGACATTTCCTAGTTACGATTTTAATGACAAATCTCTCCTGCTTGTTTTCACGACACAGAGTAAAGGCCATTGCAGGCCTTTGGCTCCCCTGCATCCGTCATCTCTCCCTCAACCAGGTATTCCTTTTGCTTCTTCCTTTCCAGCCGTGGAGGAAGCTGCAAAGTGACTTTTGGGGTGGCTGTAAACTGAAGATTTTTCTCCTTACTTCTCCAGAAAGTCAGCTGCCTGACAGGGGAGCAACTGTGGATATGTTGGATTTTTCACGCATAACAGAAGTAATTGTAAGAGAAGGTTTTACTCTTTTCCCATAAGGAGTGACAAGCTAGGAAGGGCACGGCAGTGTAATCCTGTAATCCTCTCCAGATTTCTACCGGGAAACATTTTGTCCTAAATATCAGCACAGTCATAGAAATACTGCAGAGTAATCAACCTCATCTTTCTCCTCCCCCTTCCTTGCTCCTGGCTACTAGCAAATTAACAAAATCTTCCCAAGCTTTAGCATGAGACTTACTGTGTCATTATTAAAAAAAAAAAAAAAAGGCTAATCTCTGCCTCTCTTCTTATCGTTCTCTATCCTTGCCCCCTTTGTCATTACCAATGAGTCATACTTCACCTTTTCTTTCTCTGCATCTTCCACAGCCCTCCTCTCCTCTCCTCTCCTCTCCTCTCCTCTCCTCTCCTCTCCTCTCCTCTCCCCTTCACGCTGCCCCTCAGTCCTGAAATGAATTCTCTGTTTCCAAAGCCATTTTTAATACTCAGTTCTTACGCAGGGCTGCACAGCTTGTAGGCCAAAAAAGAAGGACAATCCTTGTTTCCTTCCTACCACAAACACCACTGATAAAAACAGCAATGTTCCCCTTTTCTAATGGTTTGGTAGTTTGCATCCTGGCAAGCCATTAATGAAGGCTGGTTTTAGTCGATCGACTTATTCAGTGCAAATGCCACATTTTATAGAGAAAAAATGTTTTGTGATAGATGTGCGCACAAATAATAAATGCTGGGGGCAAATACTTGTTTTGGACTTGCAGCATGTCTGGTAATTTAGATGTGGGTTTTCTTCCGGGTAGTCAGCTTCAAAGGGTGGAAACTTGTGTGACAATCTGTTGCTTTAATCACTGTTAGACTTGCTGGCAAAACTCAATTTGCGAGAACATTTGCAATGTGGGAGCAACACTGTAATGTGAGAAAATAACACAAGCCTGCTTTTCTGGGAATAAAGTGAAATTAAGGGAGAGACAATAGGGGTAAGAAGTGAGGGCCTTGAATCAACAGCCCCTGGAAGGTGCCCTGACCTGGTGCCGTTGGCCGTGATGCCAGGAGCGTGTGTGAGATCTGCAGGAGCAGGAGCCGTGGCAGAGAGCAGGGGAATCGTCCTCTGAGTGCATTGCTGAATGCTGCTGTGCCATTCACTTGAGCTCCTGGCAGCTATTATGTTGGAAAATAAGTTTTCACTCGTTTAAGTATCTGTATCATTGGCTATTTAATGTGGGACGGGCGAGTGCTGTTAAAAATATTTCAAGTTCTTGTCATTCTTTCATTGGAACTTTTTGTTAAACAGTGTTGCAGCAGGGAAGATTTGTTCCTAAAGTTCTGTTCATGGAGTTAGTTTGGGATGTTCCTTATCTTTCAGCCTGAAATTGTGCAGCTTGAGGAAGAGTTCAGTCTTCCAAGTGGCTTGATATACACATTTAATTTTCAATGCTTTTTTGAGAAATCATGACTACCTTTGAGTGCACGTGCCGTACTGGTCACACGTCTGGTCCTAATAGGGCGGATGCATTTGCAGCATGGTGCGAGAGGTTCTGTGTTTCACCGTTACACCAATGATCACCAACACGGTTCCAGTATGAATGAGGTTTTTAGTGGCGTGAGCCTCAAATTGCACACTTCTGCCTCTATATTTCTATATTCCAAGCAATGGCACAGTTGTATGATGACTGTTCTCCTGTCATATGACCTTCCGTGTTCATGGGACAGCTCGAGTGGGAACCTCAGACTTCCAGTCCAGCCTGGAAAACCCGTCCTTGCCTGCAAGCTGTTCTCCACACATTGGGATTGCACTTCCACGGGGCTTGCTTGCAGGAAGCTGCTCTGACTACAGTTGGGTGGCTTTTTCCTTTTTGGCTGTAGACTTGTTTTGGTAAGATCAGTTTAGTAGCCTCACTGTTTACGTTGCCCCAACCAAGGAATGGAAACATGGAAGCTGCAAACCGGAAAGTTGAGACTTCCACGTGTGGCAGCAGCCAGCTCTTGGCTTAAAAGGACTGTGAAAATGTACCCTTGGTAACTGATGTGTTCAGCACCAACCAAGCTAATTTTATTTAGGCAATTAACATGTCCCAGAAGACTTAATGTGAGCCTGGTGCCAGCTAGTCTGAGACTGACTTGCATTTCGTTATGTCTCACTGAAGATATGAGAAATTCCAGTGATCAGTTCACAGTTAAGAGACTGCTGAACACAGTTAAGGCGTTTGAGACACAAACTCAGTTGCCCTTTGTGTGCTTCAAAATACGAAGAACTATTTTTTTTGCACAACAATCACTGAATGTTTTGTTAACATAAGCAAAACTGCTTTTTTCTCCCCCTCCTGTTCCTCTCCGTCTGTTTTTCAGAGATGTCCAGAACATTTTACCCCTGTTGGCTTTTTTTCTCAAACAAAACAATAAGAAATCTCAGTCCAATCAGTTAAGGCTTGACAGAGGTTTTTAAGTGACTGAAGGGTCCTAAGATGGAAAGTGGCAGGCGACTATAGTTATTCTGCTTCTGGGCCAGCATGTTTGTGACACAACATACCCTCCGTGGCCTTGAGCCGGAGGTGATCTTGTGATCCCTGCCCACAAGGGATCTCCTTGGTTGTTTCATACAGGAAACAAAAAGGGCAATAAGAGCTGTTGAAGACACAGGTTTGTCCCTGGCTCTCTGGCCTGGGAATGTCACTCACCCCAGAGCTCAGGGTGCCTGGCTTTCCCTCCCACACGACACTACGGCTAGGGATTCAGGGAAAACATGGGAGTCTTCATGAATGTTCAGTCCTGCCACTCCTTGTCCCTCAAAACCAGCTCCAGAATGTGCAAAAGGAGTTGGATGCTTTGCGGATGCGCCTACTGCAGTACATGGTGTGTTCCCAAGGCAGCAGGAGTCGGCTTGCTCGGGAGAATGACCGTGCTGGGCTTCTGAAATGACCAGACCTCTGCTGCCTTCGGCGCCCCTGAGCTCCAACCAGACACAGAGATGCTTGTGCTACCCTCCGAGGTCATGTTTTGGTGCCCTTTCTTCAGCAGCAAGTTGGACTAGAGGTCCCTTCCAACCTCCACCACTGTGTGGTTCTTGACCCCCTTCTGAAAAGTTTCCACGCTTAACTGCTGCTTTCTGGGGCAATTAAACCCACGTTGTAGCGAGCAGCCTCCTTCCGCAGCGCGCTGTGACTCACGCTATCGCGCTGCTCATCTCAGGTGCACAATCTTGTGAAATGCGTTTCTGACATCTAAACGTATGACATCCACCGAGTTTGCCTTATCTGCTGGGACAGTAATATCTTCTAAAAATGCCAGCAAGTTGGTTAAGCAATACTTCTCATGGATTGCTTTAATCAAATGGTTCGCTTAGCAGGTTCTTTAACCACCCCCTTAAAATAGCTCCTTTGGGCTTCTTCTTACCAAAAAAAATGAATTTACTAGTCTGTAGTTTCATGCTAGTGTTTCAGAAAAAGAAGGAAATAAAATATGATGTGTCAGTTTTTGAATCCTCAGTACTCTTAATTCAAAGACAATGTAATGTTTATACATTTTACAAGTTTCAGTGCGTGTGATTATTCCTTGTGAAATGTTACTTTGTTCACTTGCAAGCAGAATTTGTATGTTTATATATACTACGTCCGCACACATATATGCATTTGCGTGCGTTCTTTGGTACACATTGCAGAATTCATTTCAACTTAGGCAAAGACTCAACCTTCTTTATTCCTAACTACATACTGCTCTGCAGTTAGTTTATGTGCTCCCCAGTGCAAGCCTTTTATTCTCATTCTCAGTCATGCTTCACTGTTTCATTCAGGGGCTTTGTGCAAATATATGTGAGAAAAGTTGTAATGCTGTTGAGTTTATTTTTTTTTACTCATATTTATTTATTTTTACTCATGTCACTGTTTTTACAATATCACTATTTAGTAGGAATTCTCTAGTTATTGCAGTATTGCAAGTCCTATTCTGAGGCTTGTAATACAGTTTTTAGAAATGTGCTAACGAGTTGGTTGTGAACAGAGGCAATTCCGTAACAGAGGATTCTTTTGCAGGTTATGCCTCCTTGTCCAGGATGCCTATGGGATGTTCAGTGAAGTGCAGCTGCAGTTCCTGGATTCTGCAGAAGACGTTGGACAGTATTGCAGGAGATGGGAAGGAAGATTCTGCTGCTTAGCGGGAATGAAAGTTGTGCAGAGAGCCACAAGAGCAAGGTGAGAACAGTTCTTAGGAAAGGGTGTTGAAGAGCTGTGGCTGGCAGAGAGAACGTGCGATTTATTCCGGCAACGGGTTAGAATTGATTAGAACAAATGAATCTGGCCTTCTTTAATTAACTGCATTAATTGCCACACTCAGGGCATGGAGTAGGCACCAGCTGGAGCAGAAAGGATTGACCCCACCGTGCTCCAAAATGGGCATTAAGTAACCTAGCCCACAAATACACTTTTAGCAAAGCAACTTACAGCAAAGAATTACCTCAGGAAATATTGCACACAGGATAAATGTTTTCTTCCTCTTCACGAGATTCAAAGACTTAAAAACATTAGTGTACTTCCCTTTCGTTGCAAAACTATTAATTGCAGTGTGTTTCTCTATTCTGCTGGCCGAGCAAAGAATATATGAGAAAGAATATATTTCCTTAATATATGAGAGCTTAATTCAGTTAAACTTATATGGCTGTGGAAACACGATTTATTCCTCTTAAAAAAAAAAATCTCCTGAAGCACAAAACCATTCTCATTTTAGAATAGAAATGTCACAGGTTTATTAAAAACTCTCCAAATAAGTAACAAAATGGTGACTCTCTAATTTTGCTAGTTCTGTGATTCCTGTAACATCCTTAAACTAAAATATTTAATCAAGAAAAAAATCTTTTATAGAGCTCAATTATCTTACAGAATACCCTGTGGTATGGTATTTGCATGGGGAACTGTATAAATGTCTTTAAGTTGGTTCAATTCTCAGCATACTTTATGTTGGTACAAGTGTCTTGTGTAGATAAACCTTTACTATTAGAATGGCTGTGATATTTTTGCTGATGTTTTTTTTTCCCCCCCGTTCGAAAAGTGCTGTTTCATCAGAATCAGGATGTTTCATGGAAACATTATCTATTTTGGATACAATTTTGTTAGGAAGATTATTTTCAGGTCCAGAGGGAAGGAATTCTGTCTCATTTTCATTTCATGAAAATGTTCAAAAAGTCTCCCTTTTTTTGCCCATATTGGAACAAAAACAGATTTCAAAGACTTGAAATGTTTAGTAAAATGGAACTGCTGTTTCCCAGCCAGGCCTATTCAGTGCGCTTTTCTTTTTATGTGCTTGCAGTGTTAATTTTCAGATCCCTTGGATTTCAAGCCCACTTACATTTTTATGGATCTTTAATAACAAACACGTCTTCTTATTTAATTATTTTGTTGGCTTTTTTTTTTTTTTCAAGTTACATTTTTTTTTTCCAAACAAATTAAATAATGGCTTTGGAATTCTGGACACAACTGCAGTTTTACAACCGGCTGCTGGTGTTTCCAGCGCTCGGCCTAGCTAACAAGAGCCAGACTTTTCCTCGTGTAAATTGTGCTTCAAAGCGGCAGCGAGTGACCGCGGGGCCGGCCAGCGCCGCGCAGATGCTGGTGGCTCCGCGGGAGCTGTGCTGGTGGTGGCCCCGCGAGGAAGCGGGGCCAGAAAGGGGCCAGCGCCGCTCCGGGGAACGTGATCTCCTTGCACAGAGCGGGTGGGTGGCGGAACTGTGCAGGGATTTGTTTTTTTCTTAATTGTTTCGGCCCAAGTTCTGCTTTGTAGCTTGTTACTGCTCTTAAGTGTTGGGACATGTTTTGTGGCGTTCTAGGTGTGATGGAAACCGCAGCAAAGCCGTAGTGGGAGTAGGTGCAAGGGAGTGCTTATTCACAGAGAGCGGAGCTGGCCGCCGGGCACAAGGGCTCGCGGGGGGGACGTGCCCGTGGGCAGCTGAAGCCGTGGCCTGCCCTGCAAGGAGGGCCCGGGCTGTCTCGGAATGGAAGGACATGGCTCTTCCTAAACTGTGTGCTTCCTGGAATGTGGCAGGGGCTTTTAGTGTGGATAACAGGGGAGAAAACGTAGGATATGCGAGGGAAAAGCCTGCCTTTGGAGCTCGTGATCTGGAGTAGGCCAAGAACAGCTAATGGGATCCCATATGTGCCCGTTGTCCCACTGTCACATGGATTGGAATCTTTCTTATGGAGCCAGAGGGCTTCTTCAGGCCCTCCGTGAGATGGAGGTGATTTTCATTCACCAGATAGATAGAAAAGTCACTCAAGGTTTTTGCATCAGCGGACCACCTCTGTGGCTCAAAAATGTGCCAAAATGTGTTATTTCACATCCAGATGGTAACCTGGATCTAAACCTAACTTGAATGGACTTGTCCTGTAGAATGGATCAAAGAATGGATCTGATGAGTAAATATTTGTATTCCAAAAGAAAAGTGGGATAAGAACTTAAACATTTGAGTCATGTTTTGACCAAGAACAAGCCTGTGCAAAATGAGATTTATGGTAATCTCATCTAGGAAGCACTGTTAGTGTTGAATGTGTTTTTTGAATACCTGTATGCTTTAAAAAAATGCAAAACAGACCAGCTCTAAAAAGTCAAGAGGTCATCTGAAAGTCCTTCATGGATTCAGGTGACTTCCAAAATAGGTCCCAAACCTCATGGAAACCTCTCCTCAAAGCCATCACTGCAAGAAAGCTTTCCCTGGGTAGTAAAATAGAGGAAGTGGTTTTCCCTGTGGAGTCCAGTTTCTGGTAATCTTGTAGGACGGGTGGGCATGGCTGAGTCATGACTAACTTGTTGTGACTTGTTTAGGGTTGTTTTCTACAGCAGTTGTTCTAGTCCGGCTTTAGGGGGTTGGTTACAGCCGGAATCAGGTAGGAACGGGAATTGTAGCACCTTAGTTAACAACATGGATGTGGTTCAGTATCTGCTTCTTGGCATCTTTTCTCCCTCTCGTATCTGCTTGTCTTTTGCTCTGCTATTCCCCAGCCTGCCCGTTTAGGATCATCGGAGCAGAGGGTGGAAGTTACGAGGGCTTAAACAGCAAAGGCTAGAAAATGTTTGTTGATCTGCTGCTAGATGTCTGGTCCTTAGAGATGTCCTCTCTCTCGTCCTCCCACTGCCCCATATGTCAGTCTTTTAAATTTAGCCCCTGGAGAAGGAGGAAGTGAGATTTCTTTGGAGTCCTGCTGGAGACAGAAGTCAGCATGCAGCACAGCCCACATGGAACCTTGCTGTTCTAGTAGATCCCCCCCTTTTTTTCAGGTACATCCAGTAAAACCAGTAGCTAAATGGATGCAATTTGATACAGGGGCCAAGTATTCCCTGAAAAGTCTCACCTAAGAATTGTCATAATCTGCTTTATCCTAACAGCAGCAGTTAAATCCAATAAGCAGAGATAAACTCTGCAGTTAGGTATCTGTCCAAAGGACACAGATGTTAGTTTTGTGCTTTTAGGCCCTGACGGGCGTTACACACAGGATATATATTTTTTTCACAATTTTGCCTTTTCGTCTGTTTTGACAGTGAGTTGTTTTATTTCTGACCATAGCGGACCTACCTGTTTCTTTGTCTTTATAATTCCTCTTGGAACATGAAGAGTTTCTATTCAGCAGAACAGAAAGATTACACCAGTTTAAAAATGCAAAGAAAAAAAATGCTTTAAAATAATACATAATTAACTCAGGATGTCAGTACCAATTTTGTCCCTAAATTAAAAAAATGTCACCAAGATTGAAAAGTAGATGCAACTGTTGCATGGACGAAGCTACAGTCCACATTTACACAGGACAGGGTGAAATGTTTTGAGGGACACATCAACTCATAAGATTTGGCACATGGCCCAGCCATTAATTAATGGCAGGCTGCTCTGTAATTGCTTGCTGTGCTGCTCGGTGCATTCACTTCTAGGCTCTGAATATTGAATGTGATCGACTAGTGTTATGTTTCACTGAGAATTTTCTCTGTTTTCAAATAAAATTGATTTTTTTTTGTAATTTTAGAACTTTATATATTAGATGATGGAATGTGAAATTTTCCTAAATTTGTCCTAATATTACTGTTACTATTTTATTTGTTACTATTTATTTTCTTTTTTTTTTCCTTCTTTCTTTCTTTTGGCCTCCTTTTTCCTCTGCTTTTCATCATGTACCTTTGCTTTACGCTCAGAAGACAGGGCCACTGCTAACTGCCTGCAAAGAGGGTTTTTCAACTGCAGGACGTTGACAGGAAATGCAATAGTAAGAACTCTCCACAGCGCAAGGAAGTCGTGACTTCCTTCCTCTGGTTTTCCCTCCTCCAAAAGGGCTGCCATCTAAAAGAGCCACCCACATCTCTGAGGTTTTGAGGTCCTTAAACACTTCAGTAATTGCTGTGGTTAAAAGCTGAGTTCTGTTTAAAGCACAATTTGGGTAATTACTTTAAAGTTTTGAATGTCTGTGTTACTTTTTTTTTGATGACTGTATTCTGTGATTCTGTAATATATATCAGAAATTTATTTTGTTTCTTGAGTTTTCTTCTTTTAACAAGCATGGACTACTGCTTCCATCAGTGCTTCCATCCAAAGTCCTTAATAACCAGCACTGGAGAATACAAAAGAGCATGCTGTATCAAAAGTAATTCTGTATTAAAAAATCAGTGTTTTAATGTATTATGCATAATTTCCAATGAACTAGAGATCAGAAATTGCTTTATTTTTGAGTGCTTAGTCTCTGAGCCTGCAAACTGAGGGCATTTGAGCCTGTGTTAGTGCCAGAAGAGAACGGTTTGAGTCCAGACTAGAACTGGGAGTTGTGGAGAGGAGGCATCCTGAGTCCCCAGGGAACTCTCGAAGATGTTGGAGAAGAGTCCTGGAGTCTTGCCCTTACATAAACTTGACTTGGCCCATTTTCTTTTCTTAGTTATGCACATTTATTCTGCTTGTTCTTTTTTCTGTGTTGTCTGATACGTTCTTTATCTAGTTATTATCCCTTGACCCTGTGTTGTAGTTATTAAACTGCAAAATCCCCCAAACTGTGTGTTTTGATCAAAAATCATAGCAGTATAGCTCTAATGTGAAAAAATTATTCAGGCTTGTCACATGTAATGTTATTGGACCAGAAATATAGGTAAAACTTCATGTTGGTCAGAGAAACGCAATCTCTTCAGTAAATGGGCAAAGCTGCCTCATCACTTTTTTGTTTTTCATTTTAGCACCTTAGTATAATTTAAGTAAGTGGAACAGAAAGCTAGTGAGATGATAGAGGTTTTAAAAATTAAAGTTTGAAATTGTTTGATGTTTGCAGTATAGTTCGTAGTATGAAAAGAGAGAAATTTTGACAGAGACAGAGCCAGGTACTGGAGCTGTAGGTATGCAGCTGGTTTATATTTTTACGGGGAAGCTAGATATAATTATGCACGCTTTTCCTTGACGTGTGGGTTTTGTGAGAAGTCCCAGAGCAAACGTGCATGCGCATCCGAATGCCAGCCCCGTGGCTTTGCAGCGACCGGCACCGCAAGGCACGAAGATCGGGAGCAGCGCGAGAGCCGAGTCCCTCACGGGGGCCAGGAGCTGCCCGGGAGGGTGGCGGGATGACCCAGGGGAGCCGCCTCCACGCGCAGCACGGCCGGCCTGGAGTGCTCCACATCTGGAGTATTGTGTCCAGGTCTGGGCTCCACAGGACAAGAGGGATGTGGAGCTGCTGGAGAGAGTCCAGCGCAGGGCCACAAGGATGATCAGGGGCCTGGAACATCTGCCCTATGAGGAGAGGCTGAGGGAGCTGGGCCTGTTCAGCTGGAGAAGAGAAGGCTGAGAGGGGACCTGAGCAGTGTCTAGAAGTACCTCAAGGGAGGCAGTGAGGAGGATGGTGCTGGCCTCTTTTCACTGGTGGCCACTGACAGAACTAGAGGAAACGGCCACAAACTGAAGCACCAAAAGTTCCATAGGAACTTAAGGAAAAAAAATCTTGACAGTGAGGGTGCCAGAGCCCTGGAACAGGCTGCCCAGAGAGGTTGTGGAGTCTCCTTCTCTGGAGATCTTCAAACCCGCTTGGACGCAGTCCTGTGCCACGTGCTCTAGGTGACCCTACGTGTGCAGGGGGTTGGACTAGATGATCTCTAGAGGTCCCTTCCAACCTTGAGCATTCTATGATTCTATGATTTTCCTTTGGAGGAGCTGAAGGTGATGGTGCTAATCGTGGTAGAACCGACTTGTGCCTGTGCAGAAGGTGCATTTTGCATTCTCTCCACGATATGTTCAGCCTGTTTCATAGTGGGGAAGGTACTGTAAATTCTGGGCTTGCCGTGTGGGTGCACAGCAGTTTTTGTTTATGGATATACGGAGATGTACCGTAATTCAACAACGCAAATTAAAGTAGAAGTGAATACTTCTAGAACACATTGAAAGCTAAGAATATATTTGGTGTATGTACATATGCCGTGCTGTATACAAAACCCATATCTATCTATCTATATATGTATATAATTGTAACATTACGTGTAGGCAAAGCTTGAGGATACCTGTTTATGGGAGAGAAGAGTACCTTTGTGCAGAGGACTGTCAGGGGTCCATCCTTCTGTGTGTCTCTCCATTACATTGCTACTGGGGGTCTTTCTGTTTGGTGGATAACTGCTGGATATCCATATATTCAATGGGTAACAAAAGGATTTTAACCAAATATAGATTTCACTTCAGTATGGAAGATTATGGGATCAACGCTGATTAATGCTTTTTGTTGTTGTTCTTGTTTTGTTTTTTATTTTATTTATTTTTTAAGCAAAGCTATAGAAATTTAGAATAGATTCCTTGTCTCTTAAGTAGAAAAAAATATTCAAAATACTTTGCATGTTCCGTTTTATCCTTGGTCCTGTTTCTTCTCGCTTCTTATGCTACTTTTCCTTTTTTTTAGAGGTCTGTCCTTCTCTTGTCATTAAATTTTTGTCTTTATTATTATTTTTTAAATAGAGTGACTGGCAATTTACACTCTCAGGGCCAAATTGTTAAGTTTTTATTTTGCCTTGTGAAGTGAGAAAGGCCCTTTGTGCACGCTGGGGCTGCGTGAGTCCCCTCAGTGCAGCACAGAGCCAGCTGCTGGTCCCTTGTCCTGCCTCTATAGCTGAGGAAGGATACACATATTGGATAAAATACACCCATTGTTCCCGGCAGATTGAAGTGGGATTCGAGTGCTGCACGGCCAATAAAGAGAATGAATTTTATTCTTTCTGCGAGGATAATTATTTTCTACAGCGGAGGACACAATGTGTAGCAGTTTCGGCAGCGTGGTTGCCCCAGCGAGGCAGAGCCCACACATGAAAGGAGAGCATTAACTGCCTCGGAGGCACCCGCATGGGTGGCAGGGCAGGAGCTGCCTCAGCGGGGACACCTTGGCACCTCAGTGACGGCTCCGGAGCAGAGCTGCCCCTTCAGCAGAGAGGAGTCGGAGCGTGTGGAGATCCGGGCCTTCGCGTGTTGAGTATCCCTGTCGCTTGCCTCACTGCTGTCGAGTGAAGGGATGAGTCCGAGATGTTCAGGAGGCAGTCTCTCTTGTAAACAAATGCATTAATTTGCTAATAATACAAGTGCTCTTAGTTCAAGCAGTAGATCACCTTCTCCAACAGGCCCACAAGTGGTTGAAGGCAATGCCAGATATCCTGAATATGCTGATACGTGATTGCAAGCTGGAGATGTACAGGGGAAGGGGTAACTTTATGTCTCTTGTGCAAGATTCAAAATACAGATTTCAGTGAGGGACCATTGTAAGATCTGTGTGGAGATGTGGTTATAGCTGGAAAAAACCAGCCTAGTTTGCTATAAGTTGATGTGTATGCGATCTTTGTACACACAGACACACACACACAGATAAACACTCAGAAAACGTCTGGTGATGATCCACCAGGTTTCGTTATTAACATTGTATCATAGGTGACATGAAGACACATTGAACTAGGTTGCTGACTTACAGATTCCCAAAGCATAAATACCTCAGGATCAAGAGAAAGACTATAGTGCAATATAGAAGTAAATGATCACCCATAAGCTCAGGCCGAACGTTAAGGAAGAGGTTCCTTGTCACTCCCTGCAGAGAAGCCGCGTGGTGCCGCGCGCTTCAGGGCCGACCCCGCATATGCCCTCCCGGCAGGTTTTGGTACAGGAGCAGGTAACACCTTCGGCACGTGCTTGACTTCATCTCCAGCGCTGTTTCCACTTCCTTCATTTGCGGGATGGGCTGTTTGCCCTGGAAGGCAGTGTGGGCTTAAAATGCAGATCTCTGCCGTTAGCTGTATGAAACATTCCCAGAGAACTAAGGCAGAATAACCAAGAGCTGTAACTATAAAATTCATGCCTTTTTGAGCTGGTTGTAGCTGCTTTCTGTCCTTGGCTCTTCTTGGCCTCTCCCTCAGACACCGTTTTCTTTACTGCCCTGCTGATGCATCAGGCGACCACAGAGCTGCTGCTTCCAGCTTTGAATGCTGAGGCTGGAGAGGCTCTGCCACTTTATCTTAATATGCTGGGCCGTTAATTTTATGTTCGTTTCTGAAGGAGAAGTTGGAAACTTTCACAAGTAAAGAAAATAGCTAAATTATTGGGGATGGGCCGGAAGGAGATGGATCTCTGCACATTTGTACTCCAAGGCCTCTTTAAGAAAAGCCCTTACCAGTTTTTCTATCAGATGTTCATGCCTGAGCATTGCAGGCTTTCCTGAAAGCAGTTACGACCAGCTGTGAGAGAAAAGTAAGCAACAAAAAATGATAGAGGCCAAATGTTTTGTTCCGTCTACCAGTAAAACTGCTGTGTCACAAAGCTGTTCCTTAAAAGAGGTTGTATTGGTATTGGTGTCCTCTGCAAGCCAGCATTCACCCCAGTTTCCCTGCTGGCTGTTCGTGGCAAAGAATTAAATACGACTTGCTTGTCGCTGAATGTCATCTGTCCCTTGCCTTGCTCTCCACCCTGCAGCAGAAAAGATGGAGTTTTAATGAGACCAAATCAAAAACAGCTTCTGGAAAGCAAATGTGATTTAAAATTGCTTTCAGAATCATGCGATGGTTTGAATTATATTATTCTTTTAAATTAATATTTAAATAATTAAATTGATCTTTTTAGTATGACATGCAATATTGGAAAACATTTTAAACCTGATTTTATTGTTCTTTTGAAGGACATTAGGACTTTTTAGTCTGATAGACAGCTTGTGGCCTCCAGTAGTGCCTGTAAAAGTTCCTGGACAAAGTCAAGACTCTGAAATGGTAAGTCATATTATTGTGGAAATGTATTTCTTCACTCACAATTACTATTTTTATTGGTAGTGTAATCATGTTTATTTTGGGAATCAGTTTCTCCCAGTCTCTTTAGCTACTGCATTTTGTTACTGGCTTTGGCTTCATCCTACCCTAACCTGGATCCCTCTGGATCAGGATCACGTTTCCAAAATGATGCAGTCATTAATCCTCCAGAGCCAGAATGGTAGAGCATCCAGGCAAATTATTCCTCTCCCCTCCTCGCTGCAGGAGGGAGATATTCGATAGTGTGGAGCCAGCTAAGGAATCTGTGTACAATGATATAACCGAGCCCTTCTGAAAAGCTTTTCAGCCTTAGATTCAAAAGTGCTTTTCTAAAGTTTAACTTTCCTGAGCGCAGCCTGACTGCTGGAATCAGGTCTTATTTAGCTAGAGTGATTCTGACTCATGCTTGTCCCATGCGTAGACAGTCAAAGGAGGAATACAAAAGTATTCTTCATGTGCTAAAAGACATTTTTTTCCCTATGATTGTGTGCATGTGAAAAATTCCACTGTGAGATATTTAAATTTAAATGGATTTAAAGTAGTTACTATTTTTTTGCAGATTTAGAATTACATCCTTTAAATATCCTTTAACTATCTTTTCTATTGGAAAGGGGTTTTGTCGTACCAAGTGGCATTTTGGTAATATGAGATCATTTAAGAAGCTTCTGAATAATCAAGTGTTCATGCTGTCCTGCTGTTTTGTGTAGCTGTTTTTTGGGGAAGGCGTTTGTGCTATTAAATTTTGTTAGAGCCGAGAAGTCGATCAGGATGGAAGATTAAAAAAAAAAAAAAAGTATTAAATTTTGTTAGAGCCTAGAAGTCGATCAGGATGGAAGATTTAAAAAAAAAAGAAAAAACAAGGGAAATAAAGGAGAAAACTGAAGATGAATATTACTTGTAATTGTGAGATTTTTTTTCTCTACAAGGTGGTGTTATTTACATTGTATGGGGATTTGCGTTGAAGAATAAACGTTCAGTCCTTGTCCAAGTGAAACCGAGTGAAACTGCTCTTCCCTCCTTTATTTTCCCACGATATTTAAGAAATCTCAGAAGAGTGGATAGTTTTCTGTGTAAAAATGTTGTAGACAACAGAACAAGAGCATATACGGATAGAGCAAAGCTCCTAAGTGTCATTTAGCCTTATTGCAACATTCATGCATTCTTCGTTTTCTCTATATTAATAGCAATCTAAAAAGCGAGGAAACTTTCTATAATGATGCAGTTTACACTTCTGTCCTAAATTTGAAATGCTAATTCATTCCAAGGAAGATCAAGACTTACAATGTACAGTTTTGGGGAGAATGACTTTTTATTTGTGATATTTTTTTCTTGATAGAAACTATAGTTTTATGCAAGCAGATAGAGTTTTACACATAGAAACCTAAATAGTATTACCAACACACTTTTAACGTTGGGAAGAGATCTGTGGAACTGACTTCTTTTGAGATGCATGTACATTCAGTTACCTTATTTAATAGTCCGAGGCAAACAGAACTTGATTTGATGGCTTTTTGCCTGTTTTTTTCTTTATGCAGATTTTTTCAATGAGTTCGCAGCTGTTTTTAATAGATTCATTTTTTTCAGTAAATGAAATGGTTTATTAACAGAAAACATCTCTAGAACAGTGTTTTACCAAATGCACAATAAAAAAAAATTGCTATATTGTCTTTCATTCCTGAGAAGCTGTTCTTGTTTGGGATCTCATTAAATGGAGATTGATAAAGTTGTTACGTCACAACACTTTTTAAGGAGGAAAGAAAAATTTTGGCATAGCACAAAGAGAAAAAAAATGTAGTTTTGAGTTCCTGTTCTTCATTATCTCCTTGTGCTGTCCTGGATTTAATTTGGTGTCTTTAAAAGCTCTTCAGCTGTTTACTATCACAAAAACCCACCCACATGCACAAGTCCCCTAATCTCAGAATAGTTATGGATATTAAAACAAAAAAAAAAAACAGGGTACTCCTACCATGTTATAAAAATAATGTAAAAACAACAACCACTTTGAAATAGTCACAGTGAAGGCCAAGTGTGCCAAATAATGAGATGTTTTTCTAATGAGGATCAATGTCAAATTCTGGAAAGGATGATGCATACAAGATGATTTCACTTGTTGTTTTATTAAATCAACTTCTACTTCAGTGAATTGTTATTATTTAACCATATCTCTATATACTTACTATTATTATAAATGTTGACTGACCAAATGGAAGTGTCTTTTTTAAAGTTCTGTTTCTTTTACTTATTTCTTAACAGATGACAACTAGTCTTCCTCCTCCCAGCTTCTGTTATATTCTTGCTGTACACTCTGGTGAAATACTTATGAAAGTAGATGAGGAAGAAGAGATTTCTAATTTGTACCAACCACCAGTTGTTCATGGTCTAAAGGAAATTTTTCAGGTAATCTGCTTTAGAAAACAGATAACAAATACTTGGTAACATTACATTTTTAATGCCCTGTTTGTCTCATTCCCTGTTTTTGCACAATTATTTTCAGATTGACCGTTGTAATGTATGCTGTAGCTTTTGGGCACGGGTGCTGTATCTACGTCTGCAGGTAATCTTTTCATGTAGCAATGAAATGCAATTAAGCTCAACAAAATGTGTGCCAAGAAAGCAGCATTGATCTTGTTGAGGGGAAAAATATTTTCTGTGGATGATTTTCCAGACCTGTATGAGCAGAATTATCAGCAAGTCTAATATGCCTGTGAATGGGTACAATGAATTGCATTTTCAGCCCCTGTATCATTTAGTCTAGAAGATTAATTATTTCTCAATTCATTGTTATCTAATCAGAAACAACATTTCACCTGGATATCGGTAAGGAGCTCCCAGGGAGTTAGCTGAGGCTTGCAGTGGAGCTAAATACTTAGATACAGCAGAAAAGCTCCCAGCCAGTTGAGTGTCTGGGGATAGAATTTAAGAGACGATGGTTATATAAAAACACAGTTTTGCTCTTTGCATGCAAGCAGACAATTTTTGTGGACTTCAAGAGAAGCCCCTTAGGCAAATTTGGCTTTTATGGTCCAGTTAGTAAAAAGGAGGAACTCTTAGGTAAATACATCTGTCATCCATATTATGTTGGAAAGCTTATAATTATGTTTTATTTATTTGTTTCTGAATGACGCTACAATTTTCTTTCAGAATGTTGCTAACTCCCTCAGTAGTTAAAGGAATTTTTTGTTCCTGATTTATTTATTTTTTCCTGGCAACTGGATCCTAGTACAGCCAGCACTGAGTCCTGGTGGAGGATAATTTATAATTGTCCATCAGCACAAGAAGCAAAGTGTGAATCAAAGCATATGAACCAAGGACAAAGAAATTCCATAACGGGCAGCAAAATAGCTGGAGATACTCCCCACCACTGTGAGACCCAGATTTAACTGAGGTCTCGTCCTCTCGCCTCAAGAGCAAATACTTTACAATTTGATTTTTAGGCAGGGAGAACTTTTAACTCCTGTGATGGGGAGTATCTTTTCTCACTTGGCGGTGTGTTCTCCATGGTAAGTGACAGTGGGGCATTTGCATGCATTTGAAATTACAGCCAGCGTGATGTGATCCTTAGGGTGCTAACAGAAAGATGGGCATGTCTATGTGTGGGCTTGTCTTATTTCCAAGAAAACTGTTTTATTAAAAAAAAAAGAAAAAAGAAAAGAAAAAAAGATTCTAGAGATTAGGTAGTGGTAGCTTAGCCAGACATTTTTGGTTTCAGGCATGAAACCAAAACCAACAGCATCTGAGATGTGCACCGTCAGTATTGTTGCACTGTCAGTATTGTTCTGTACATGTATTTTATCACTAAATTAGGGAAAAGATGCAGTATGCCAGAATAGATATGTTTTTGAAGAATAAGAGCTTGTCTAATAGAAGAAACAAGTCAAGTTTTTCTTGCTGCTGGAAGGTTTCTTATCTGCTTTATTTAATGGCTATTCACTTGCAGAACTGTAAGCACTAAATTATCATAAGCAAACAATACGGAGCGCATACATTTTTGAAAGTAATATTGCAAAAAGCAATAAGAAGTATTTGGCTTTTACATAACTGCTCTATGAACGGAAAGGCACGTACCTGCTGTTAGTGTATCAGTTCCAGAAGAATGTCACAAACAGCAGCTCGTTTATTGCCAGAAACATTCATCCTTCCCATGCAAAACCGTCAAACTGGAATATGTGAAGAAGAAACTTATTTTGCAGACTTGTTATTAAATAATCTGCTATACGGATTATTTCAAATGTGTTTTAAAAATAGTATTTATTCAGTGTAGCTGCAGTATTCTGAGATGCTCCATTTGTGTAAAGGAGGAATGGGAATATGCCTTTCGTATTACTCGGAATCTGCGCTGCGGTGCCGAAGGAATATGAGGAAATATATTCCATCTGTGGTTGAGGAGCTGTCCTTCCTTATAACTCAATCCTGCTGCTATTTGTCTGTTGTGTCCTCTCTGTTCAGAACAAATTGTCACACATAGCAAGATGATGATTTTATACTAACTTGTGATTTTTGCTGTTGTTATTATTTATTTTTTGCATGATTCTTCTGCAGGCTGGCCTTTAATGTGTTTTAGCAGTTCTCCTGGGACAGCTTTAGAAATCCTGCCTTTGAATTTGTTTTAATGCTATCTCTGTAGAGGAGGCACTCTAAATGCACGTAGCTACTATACAGCGAAACCATGTAAATGCAACAGGCAGCACATATTGTATTAAGGGACAACCGTAATAGCTAAGTTAGTTACAAATTTTACTAGTAATTATTTCCTATTACCATAATATTGCTTCTTAGAGCTGTTAGCGTGAATGAAAAGCTAGTTTAGGATGTTTAATGTTTTCAAGGCTTGAATTTAATTGCAGACAAAAAGTTGTGGTTCTCGTTGCATTACGTTAAGATTGAGAAATGCAAATTTGGAACTAAAATATATTGAATATGTATCTTAGCAGTCGCTGTACTATTTAAACATAATTTAAATATTTTATGCATGAACTTTTATTTGAGAGGCTAATTAATAATGCAAATTGTTTAAATTACTAAGTAACTTAATTTCAGTTAAGTATTTTAAAATATTAGAATCTTAAGAATTGCAAGTTGCTTGGGCTGATAAATGTGAAATATGTTTTGTTATTAAACTTAGCTTTTCCTCAAACATGGGAGAATTCACACAGACACGCAGGTTATAAAAGTTTTATTAGAGTAAAAAAAAAAAGTGTGGTCAAATTGTCAAATTGTAACCCATTGAATTTGTTAGAGGCTTTGGAGAAAGCATTGATATGTATAAAATGTTTGTGTATTCTGTCTTCTTCTCATCGTAATATTAAGAAAAAAAAACACTACTGATAATTGTTGTCAACCATGAAGCCTGACATAACATGTAGGTATGTTGGTTGTGACATCATTTGTTTGGATATACCTTATTTTAACCATAGCAGAATATTTTTATATCAGTTTAAGCAGGCAGGATACTTTCGTTGTCATGGTGGATTCCTGTATTTCTTACAAGTCATCTACTTTCCTATTTTTGTGTTTCATTCAAAAATTTAGAGATTTGTTTGTTCAACAGAAAGGATTTTTCCAGCTTTGTAACTTATAGTAGCTCTTAGCCAAGGAGTGGTGCTCATGAGAATCAGATAACAAAACATGGGAAAAAATGCTTACATAGAAATAAAAGTAGTAATAGTCTTTCTTCTTTTAAGGCAAAAAAATCATTTAAGCCTTTGTTCATAAAAGCATATAATTAACTTTTTATAAAGTATATTTTCAGATCCCAAGTACACTCAAAGTCAGTCAGTTATATTGTGACGTGATAGTTATTGAAGGTAAAGCCAAGATCCCAGTGGGCCAAGCTCAGAAAGTTAATTTAAGGTAGATGTTAGTCTTTATCTGAGAAAAAACAACCACTAAAGCTTTGATACATTTTTATGCACAAACCCTAAAAATAGTAGAGTATGTCAGTTTTACTAGTAGCTTGAAGATGTTTTTGTAGACTTTCATTTTCCTAAAAATTAATGACTGTATTCCATTTTTTTTCTTTTTTTTTTTTTTTGGAAACCGTAGACAAAACACAATGTTCCTGTGAATCAAAGGGAGATTTGGCTGTTTGTGACTGACTGCACATTGCAAAATGTGGTGCCTGCAGCTCCCAGCGTCGTGGCCGTGTCGGTCGCAGCATCGTGTGTTCTGAGCACAGAGGTGGTGGAAGCCCTCGCTGTCACCTCGCGCGTCGTCTTCTTCAGGGACGCCCTGTGGGCAAAGGGTAAGCTTGATTCCAGCTGGAATTGCACGGGAATAGCATCCTCATCCCTGTCCCTGAGGCCCTCAGGGACTTTCA